GGAACCTCCCTTGACCAACATCTCCCCAGCCCCCCTCCCCCACCTCTAACCACCATTCTACTCTCTGTTTCTCTGAGTTGGACTATTTTAGATACCGCATGTAAGTGAGATCACGCAGCATTCATCCTGCATCTGGCTTATTTCACTTGGCATGATGTTCTCCAGGTTCATCCATGCTGTCACAAATGGCAGGGTTCCCTTCTTTGGGTGGCTGAACGTGATCTATATATCACATCTTCTTTATCCATTCATCCATCAAACGACACTCAGGTTGTTTCCATATCTTGACTGTTATGAATAATACTGCAATGAACATGGATAAACACCCTATTTTAAAACACGGCTCCTGCTCTCTGTCACCTTCTTCTGCCTTATATTCCCCATAGCAGTTATCTCCATGTGACATAGAACATATTCTGCTTATTTATTACCTGTCTTCCCTATCCCACCCCACTAGGATGATGGTTCTGTAAAGGACAGGCTTTTTGTTTGTCACTGCTTGGAACAGGACTGAAAACATGGTAGAAGCTCGATAAATATGTACCTAATGAATGAAAATACGCGTGCTTTCACATACATATGTATCAACCTGAACCGGTTTTCAAAAATATTTTTCTTGGTTGGTTTTCTACAGTAGGGGACAAGCTAAAGTCACAAGACATGCTGTTCACAGAAATTCTTATCTACTGACTTTGGTGAATACTTCAGCGAATGCTTTCAATTATTAGCAGAGGCCGAGTCAGTTCATATAAAGGAACACAAAGGAAATACCAAATAAATAGAATTGCGAAGGTCACTGTGAAGTCACTTAGAGATTTGCACATTGTTAACTGGGCAGCCAGCACCAGATTAGCTATTTAAATACCAAGGAGGGTTAAACAGAGGTGACAAATTCAGGGATGGGAGGCAAGAGCAAAAATGCTGATAATTAAGTGGCTTTTAGTCATCGTAGAATTTTCCTACCATGTATTACGAGGAATCACGAAGCAGGGGAACTCGGAAAGAGAATAACCTCCGGGGTCTATAAATAAACAATTCACAGGTTTGTCGTTGTTGCTGTTCTGAGGGAAGGGATGGGCTCACTTCCTCAGAGGTCCCCTCTTCCTCTGCAGGTCTCCCCTGTCAGCAGAGTCATTGGGATCTTGACATATCGACGACCTTCAGATGGCAGGATGCACGGACGGCCGGACGAGAGTTCCCCTCGCTCTGCCTTCTCCTCCCACAGCTCCTCCTCCTCACGGAAGCGTGTCCCGAGCCGCCTTAATCTTCCTGGCTTTGTCAGCCCCTTGTAAAGGTACGTTTCAGCTCAGAAGAAGGATATCTCTGCAGAACAGGCCTAAATGAGGAGGCAGGGACGGCCGTGTAGCTACGGCATCTTGCGAGTCAAACAGAACAGGATGCGGAACCAAGACTAACCACGGTGACATGGGTGGGTTCATAGGTCACGTGCCCATCCCACCCTGTCTTGTGCTGACTAAGTGATCCTGACCAAGTTTTTCCCCCAGAACAGTAGGACCATTGTCATGGGACCATTGTCATTGTGAGTTTTAAATCACGATGACAATCACAATCACAGTGTCTCATGCTGGGCACTCGTTCTGGTTAACATTATGACCTCATTATGACTTTCAGTTATTATCAGTGTTGTCCCAGAGGATAGAGCTGTCACTTCTTGACTGTACGGTGTATTAAAGCTCTGGAAGAGCCACAGAGAACTAAGGTGACACTTTGTTCCACTTAGGCTTGATAGTTCTGCGTTACGCCTGTCATCACAGCAGCGTAATATAAGAGCATCTCCTGTCACTCTGGAAAGTGTCCTCGTTTGGACAGTGAATTGTAGGGCTACCTTATCATGAGCTAACTTATCTTGCTCGTGAGAGCTTTTCCTGGTTTCTTCCCGCATGATCTTGCACTGCTCTCAAAACAAACTAGGTTTCCAACAGATACTCATCAGATGGTAGAAGAGATGTTTTTAAAAGAGAAGTAGAGAGAGGGGGGAGGAGGAAAGGAGAGGTGGAAGTAGGGGAGGAGGAAGAGAAGCCCCCCAAAATTCTATCACAAATCACTTGCTGGAAGCCTTTCTGGAAAGGCAGCCTATAATCTGGAAGGGAATGAATATCAGAGGCCTCAGACATAACCATGGGAACAATACTAACACTTAAGACCGAAAGTCCGTTTCAACCCTTCCACCTCTATCTGGAAAGTTTTCTAATGTAAGCATTTTGGTATTTTTCTAAAACTATCCAATCTCCTGTATTTGCTTCCTACACGTTTTAGAAACTTGAATTTCTTCGAACTCTTTTTAAACTCCAAGGTTTCGATCTCCTCCCTCCAGTTCCGAGAACCTCGACATCGGCAGTGGTGGATGCTGACTTGACAAAACAGATCTATGGTCGTGCATTCCAGCAGTCGGTTTCAAATGGGGGCCAACGTCGGCCCTCATGGGACACTTGGCAATGACTGAACACGGTTTTTGTTGTCATGATTGGAGCGTGCTACTGGCATCTGATAGTTAGATGCTGCTAAACCTCCTCCAAGGCATAGGACAGCATTGTCCTCCCCCATGACAAACAACGCCCATGACAAAGAATTGACCATCCCATAATGTTAATCATTGTGTTAGAAGGACAGCCTACCTCCAGGCCCTAATTACAGGATTTCCCATAGAAAGTGTCTTAATCCAATATGTTGAGTCGACCAAGCACTTGAGGCAAGGACATGAGGGGAGACGTGTTGCGTTGGGGGACGTCACCCCTTGAAACATCTCCTACAGATTACTAATGAGTCCTTTGGGAAGACAGAGAGATCGTGAGATTTGCATCTAGAAGTACAGGCTCACGTCCAAATTCCGCAGCTTTCTGGCTGCGTGACACTGTGCGAGCCACTTCATGGTGATAAATGTAGTGTCCTGGGTCCCTCTGAGCACCGAAGGTGATAATATGTGAAGCGTTTTGTAATTATGAAATTTCTACACAATCGCCAAGTAATAGTATTCACTTACCTTCGGGCGAGGGTTGGCCCTATCGGTTTTCACTGCTCGGACATTGGAATTGACCTCGCTCTTCTGTAGTACAGGACATTTATCTAAAATATGAATCCCTCGACATGTCAACAAGTCAGCTTTCATGGCCCTGATCATCTACCGACTCATAAGGGTTTAGAAAATTCGATTTCCTAAATTTTCATTTTCCACAAGAAACACTGAGGGAAAAAATATCTGTCAGAATGAAAAAGGTAGATGGAGCTGGAGAGAAAGAATGTCACTAGGGCACGTCTTGTCCCTACGTATCTAAAAAGTGCCCCTCACCCGCCGGGACCTAGGTAAGCTCTGCGAGGCCAGGAGAAGCAAGAGCCGACCATTGTGAGACTTTCTAATTCACTGTTTTTATAATTCCACCCGCGACTACAGGTGTGTGAAAAAGTATGCGCCACATCTCAACACTCATTCACCATCTCCATGTGAGATAGTCATGACTTGTCATCTAGAAAAACCATTTCCATTCTACTCACAGAACCGAGAAGATCCATCCATCCATCCATCATCCTTCCGTCCATCCGGCCACCATCCATCCATTTATTCACCACACCACAAACTTTTTCTGAGGACCTTGTCTTGTGACACAGACTCAACTAATGTTGGAGAAATACACATAAACCAGATAGTGTTTCTACGCTGCTGAGTGATTCTGCAGAGTGGGAGAAGCTGACTGCAGTGCAGAGTTTCTGATATCCATGCCGGTTCATGCCGAGAGCTCAAGCCATGCTTCATCGGTAGCTTTGGTTGCACATTTATTTATTTCAAAGATCCTTAATTACACTCTCTCTATAAGCCCAACTATGCCAAGGCCATGCTTTGTCACAATGTGTTTTCACTACTCATATTTTGAAACGCATTTCTGAAAAACGTAGAGCCAAATGTTTAAAATGTATTTGTTTATGTATTCAGCACACTTGGAATGACATCATGATCAGCTCACGATTTTACACATTTGGGTTTTTATTTTTAACTTGGTCGAATTTAATCTGATTGGTCCAGGAGGAGATTAAGGCTGAGCAGGAGCCTCTGCCAGGTGAGAGCTGGGCTCTGTTGGCTCATTCTCCCAGAGGTGCATGTGTCTGATTCTCGAGTTGTGAGTTCAGTGACCCTGGAAATCACTTTCACTTATTGAGGCATTACCTTGGAGGGGGACCTCGGATCAGATGATGTCGAGGTTCTTTCGGCACTTGAATTCTGTAATTTATGGTCTAACATCTCACATATTTGAAAGTCACTAATCAGAGTGGGACGAAGCTCAGAATCAGAAAGTGAGCAA